TTATTAACCACCGTTCAATCCATTGTTTGTAATTTTTAAAAGATATAAAATAAATTGTTAATTTATTATTAATTATATAAAAACTATTTAGCAAAAAATAATGTAAATTATTTGTTCATGTAGAATCTTAACCGAACTGAAATCCTAACCATCCTAAACGCGTGACCGAACGAATATATCATTTTCGTATTTTGACGCGCGAACCTGTTTATTTTATTGTAAAATCATATTCACTAACGAGTTTACGTAAAAATCACGATTTTAAATGTAAAATTATTACACACGTCTTGCACGACGATGAAAAATGATAATTATTTTACCGTGGCACTGTGCCATGTCCTTATCGAAAATTCAAAAATAACAAAAACCTGATCACAGCTAGCGCTTTTGGCGGAAACCTTTGTGTAATATTATAGCCTCGGAATTCAGCGATCTTCAAAAACCTATCGATATTTTTAATTTAAATTATATAGATTTTAGATAGAATTAAATCTAAGATCGATATTTATACTGAAATAATTTCGATATTCGATAAAACCGATTCAGACCGATTGAAATACATTACTACATTATAGGTATAATAATAATAATATAACATATCGTAAGCTAGAACAACAAAATAAAGAATAAAATATACATAGTATTACTATACTTATATTATATAAATATATAAATAGAATACATAATTTAAATATTTTCACGGCCCGTGGTCGTCTGCTATAAACTTCTATAAATCTGTGACCGTGACTTAATATTTCACTAATAATACTCTATAATAGTATTATGGTAATATACTATAATATGGTCTATTATAGTCTATCCCCTATGGTCTATGTTACAACTACGGAATACCTATACAAAATTAACCTACGTATGTTAATTTAGGACTGTGAATTTAAAGCATTATAAAACCCATACAAATTAATTATTAAATGCATTAACATCCCAAAAAAGTCATTATAAAATGCACTGCAGTCTGCAAGTGTATTAGGTGTATAAATCTTATATATTATGATGCTTAATTAAAAAATAATAATAATATGATTTTCACAATTTATTTTCATTTAAAGATATGACAAAGTGTCTTCACTGGAAGGCTTCTTAAATCTGTCCTTTCTTCAAGTCACTTTATTCACTTATCTATTTTACTTATTGTTCAATTTTATGTAACAGATTGTAAATAAAAAAAAAAAAAAATTTAAAGATATTATTAGTTATGTGTGAGTGCGCGACCATTATTTATGGAATAAACTTTTCCCTCATTGATATTATTTGATGCTCTTTCAACAGACAATGTTAACATAATAAATTAAACATACGCTCAATTATATAATACAGTCAGCCCTCAAAGTCCTAAAGTGTGAGCTTTAAACATTTTTTTTATATAATATAAGCATTTATTTATGTTCTTTATTGATTGTTGACATATTCGTTATAACATTTGGTTAAATTCTCAATAATAATAAAAAAAAAATATGTGACGTGCGTTGTGCATGTGCACAATATATCGTGTTAAATATTTAGAAGACGAAAATCAAAAAATAATTTATTAATGCATGTAAAAGGTTTTAATTGATGGAAATTTTAAATAAAAAAACATCGATACCTAAAAACTACCAGAAAAAATTTTAAATTTAAAAATAATCGCAAAATATAATTCAGTGCCGTAGGCAGGGTCACTGGGGGGCACGTGCCCCCACCGAAATATTTTCTTTTTTTTGGTTGTCCGTAGTACATCGCACAAAATTTTTTAAATTTATATAATTCCAGATAAATCTATGATAACGAATAGCAATAAATTATTAATTTTGTAATTTGTATTCATAAATTTCAAATAGTAATAAGGAGCACGGACTTCGGATAAGAAATACAAGTGCATTCCATCTTTGTTGTGAAAACGATTATGGTATCATTATGAAATGTATCTTGTTGTGTACTAAGTGGTATATAATTGCTGGTAAATCATTATGTTTGATAAAAACTAAGAGTTATGACCTAGTATTCTTGTTAGTAAATAGTAATAACATTCGAACTAAAAATGAAATATTGTGTTTCAAACACATATGTCATATTGATAATGTTGATTTAATTACATTAATATAGCTATATTAATTAATACATTATTATATCAATCTATACTTTATAATACTATTCATTAATACGTTGTTATGTTAAATGTATGGTTACCATAGTCGTGAACATATAATTGTAGTCGTAAAAAAAATATAGGCGTGTAGTGAACTCTTTATAAACAAAGAGGCAATAAAGTAATAGGTGATAATCAGGTGTATTGCAAAAATTTAATTAAAAAATTAAGTGCCCTCCCCCCCCCTGCAAAAAAAAATTCTGGGTAGGTACGGCACTGATATAATTGTTGTATACAATAATACCTAATTCAAACTTTAAGTTAAGAAAGCTATGTCTTATATTAAACTAAAAATAATATATTTTTCCGTGAATTCCCGTATAGCTCTACTTGCTCTACATAATTGTATTATATTATTATTTAATGCTTCCCATATATAATTCTATGCTACGAGTACGCCATTATTTCTACATTTTTAATTGCTTATCGCTAATATTTGCTATAATAGAACTATTAACTGTATCCCACCAAGGTTTTTAGATTATACAATTATAGACTATTATCTAAAAACTTTGGTACTCCACATGTTTCGATGAACGACTAAAAGCGATAGCGTTGAGCAGGTGTTGGATAAGAGAATTTCATCTTCGTTGTTCATAATGTTCATATTATACTCGTGCAGTGTGGTTCTGCATCCATCATGACTAGAAAAATAATTATTTAGTTATGGCATCCACACTAAATTGTATGTCATTGTATAATGTATAATGTATATAAATAGTACCCGTGGCCATGGTAAACACTACACAAGTATAACCGGCCATAGATAAAAAATTAAAACGATGATATCAATGTTTTAAACTTTTAAAAGAAAATCATAACTTGGAGTCCACGTCTCCACGACGTAGAGAAGATCTTCTCTACATCGAGTATATCATGACGGAGTCCGTAATATTATATTATTATAAATATTGTGCTTGTTACTAAACGTTGTCAACCAAACAATCACTGCATATTGACGTCATCGTAAACATATACATAATTCGGTTTAGATTAAATTGTTTTAATTAAATTTTTTTTTTACATGTCTTTGGATGTGTACTGTTGTAGCATGGACAATCGACAACCTAACACCACATTATAATATTATTTGTAATTAACTGTCTTCTATATATTATGGTAAACTTAGTACGGTGAATGCCCATTTCCCAAATACATAAATTATAAATAATAAATATATTAACAAAATGTCATGTACTATGTCATAGACGAATAAAATGTAGAAAATAAATATTCGTCATAAAATACCACCGAATCGCAGAACAACAACTGAATACAGACAATACAGTTGTGAGTTATCTACTGTGAGAAAAAAAATCTTCTGTACAAACAGCGAACTACGAATATTCCTGTATTATTTAATTCAGTATTCTCGTGACAACATTCTCGATCTATATACATTTTTTAACGAGTAAAGATTATTTCTGAATTTTTGATTTCATTCCGGCGTTGACTATCGTCGAAGTTATCAGCTGTCGCACGTACCATGCGCAGTGACCATTGCGCACCATGTGAGTGTATGACCATGTCATGCCATTTGCCAAACCGACTACCGAGTAACCGACCGGCGAGGCGTGGGCGGTGGCGCCGGTCACCGGCGTTAAGACTGTTAAGAGTTTTATCATTATAGCACGTTAGATCGCCGTGATTAGCACGATTTAAGATTATATCTTAAATCGTGGTGAGCCCGTGATATACCGTTTTCCGTTGTACTCGCCCAAAATCGTCTCTGTATTGAAAGATTTTACAACAAACAATGGTGTAATAATGGCTAAAATTTTTAGAATGCATTCTTACTACGAGAAAACTAATATCTAAGGTGACGTGTCAATTAAAAATATCGCATGTGCGAATAAAAAATAGTAGTCTATAACGATAATACGATATGTCTTGATATGTTCAGGTGTCACTGATGTCAGATCATCTAATACCTATGAAAAAAATGTAAAAACGAAATCTCCCACTCCAAAAAAAAAAAATCAGGTCTAAGTACGCCACTGACAACAAAGACTGGTATCTGCTCCTCTAAAAAAAAATTTAATCAATGTGTCTAAAATTTGATATCGAATCAGTACTTCGTATCATTTGTTTTTACATCTTACAAAAATAATTTTTGCCGAGTGGCCCTGGTCGAATAAACAACAGCCGGACTGAGTGAGAATGATATAATAATAAATAATAATAACAAAAAATAATAATATTGTGTGTTTCACAGTTATTTTGTAGTTCGTACTTATCGTACAGCTGCTGTCAACCACAGTCCACAACAGACAACAAACTATAAAATTTCTAATCGTTAAAACATGCGATGACTATGAGTATGAGAAATTACAAACACAATTCTCACAAAGGAACAATTTAAAAGTCACATTCCATTTCAAATTTACTTGTTTTTTTACATTTCAAATACTACACATGTTTAAACCATAACGAATATATTGGCATATTGCTRTGGATTGGTAATGGTTTTAAAATGGCCTGCAAATATTTTGGTATCATTAAAAACCTAATGGAAAATTGGAAAGACTCGCTTGCAGCAACAGCAGCAGCAGGCTGTCACCAGCTGCAGCTGCAGTCGCTAATCGCTATGAACCGTGCCTRTACCACGATAAGTTCAAAACGTTATCATAATATACGTCATTAACATTTATACTACTAATTATAATTATTTATTCGGTGTAATATATCATCATAAAATAGAAATCTAACTGTTTATCTGACTGTATAGACTAAAGGCAGAAAGCAGAATGATAAAAAATTTAACATAATACCATTTAAATTTTTTTTAAATAGTGATATGGTGTTATCAATAATTACTTATCAAAATTTATATTATAATCGTTGTTGTTATTTGTATTCTCGAAAATGTCAGACTCCGACGTCTCTCTCTCTCATTCACTCACTCTCTCAGTCTCTCTCTCTCTTTTTAAAACAATCAAATAAGGAAGTACCTATATCGGCTATATTATAAAGAGTCGGTTGTCCGGTATTTAGTTGTTGCAAAATAGCGACCTTTTTCGTGATTTACATTTAAGTCAGGTGTCTACGACAGGCGACAGCAACAAATAACAATGTCCAGTGATTCGATTAAAACAGTAAGTGGAGGTTTTTTCTTGTTTCCTATATCGCTACACTCCTCATAAAACTTCTTTGCTTTGATTTACAACTACGAATTAATACGTAGAATGTGTGATTTCTGTATTAAATTTATTTCGATTTTCAACAGTTTAACAATGTGGAGTCACCTGGATTCGTGGGTTTTGCCAATCTGCCAAATCAAGTTCACCGTAAGTCTGTGAAAAAAGGCTTTGAATTCACTCTTATGGTGGTTGGTGAGTCTGGTCTTGGAAAGTCCACGCTCGTCAATAGTCTCTTCTTAACGGATTTATACCCTGAACGCGCCATTCCAGATGCCATTGGTGTGTATCTATTTTTTTATTCATATTCCATTATATTTTGTGTACCTATTTATTTTTGATTGAATTAGCAAAAACCAAGCAGACTGTAAAATTGGACGCATCAACTGTAGAAATTGAAGAGCGCGGAGTGAAATTGCGACTTACTGTTGTCGATACTCCTGGTTTTGGGGATGCAATAGATAACTCAGATAGGTATTTCTTATAAAAAATTTAATAACTTCTAACTGTACCTAACCTTATAATATTATTACCTAATTTAATAAATTATAATTTCTAGTTTTCGTGCTATTATTCAGTATATTGATGAGCAGTATGAACGGTTTTTAAAAGATGAAAGTGGATTAAACAGACGTCATATTATTGACAATCGTGTTCACTGTTGTTTTTATTTTGTTTCTCCATTTGGTCATGGGTAAGTTAAATAAAATTGTTTGAACCTTATCAAAGAATGTTAAAAAAAAGAAGCTTGCTTATTCTTTAAATAATAGCATATTGGATGTACACATAATATTTATTTTAATAGATTAAAGCCATTGGATATTGAATTAATGAAAAAACTACATAATAAAGTGAATATTGTTCCTGTCATTGCCAAATCAGATGTTCTTACTAAAAAAGAAATACAGAGATTAAAAAAAAGAGTAATTAAAAATAATATAAATTTTTTTATAGTAAAATCTTATGTTAATATAATACAATGAAATCTCTATATAATGGAAATTAACTCCGGGTAATTTAATTGTGTATGATTTAGATTTTTTTTATGGATATCTGAATTGTGGGTGTGGTCTATCATCAAACAAAGTAACTGTTTTTGGCGACATAGGGACAATGGGACATATATGGTTAACGTTAAATTATTTGAAAGTTTTGAGTATTGTTTAATATTTTCAATTATTATAATGGATTGGTGTATAGAATAATATTTATTATGAAATCTAGCATACTCAAATACATACCTATTCATTTAAAAATTATTATATCATATATAATATTTTTAAAAATGTATTGAAATCAACAATACGATTAGAATATTATTAATGCATAATATTATGCAGTTTTAGTCATTTAGTGGTTTTGAAATAATTGAATGATAATAGTTGAGCAATATACAATCATTGCTCATTTTTTRTATTAGTGATGATAAGAAATATTGATTTAAGAGTTATAATTTATGATTGTGTACAAATATGATTATAATTTAAATGTCATGATATAACATTTCAATGTAAATTTATAAAATGGTTAAGTTTGTTAAATTTAAATTTGTATATCTTGCAATAGAATACTAACTACAAGAAACATGGTCGAATGCAAATGTTTTTAATTCTGTATAGGTAACCATAATTTATGTCACTTCCATATATTCAAAGTTTGCATAAACCATTATGAAATCCAGGGCATTTTAAATGTACAAAGTAATATTTAAATTTTAAAGGATTATATCCCAAATGATAGGCACTTTGGCTTTGTAAAACTGGTGTAAGTTAAGCTTATTAACATATCCTAAACGATTAAAGGTCCACTCTTAAATTATTTATTCATACATTCATATTTTTTTATTCAAAATACTCCAAAATATAATTCTTTTTAAAGTGAACCAACAAGGTGTTAATGACAATTCCTTTAAATTAAGAACAATTAATTAGTACAAAAGTTCTTACACATTTTTAATTATGTACAAAATATGTACAATGCGCTGACGTCAATGGTTACCTAGTTTGAGTAGTTACCAAAATATTCACTAGAGTCAATATTTAAGTTAAACAAATGCCAATTGGGAAAGTCAGATGTAAAAATATTTTATTAATTGTATATTGTATATTTAAATCACATTTTGTGATTTCTGCCAGCAAAGTGTATGTAAATAGAGGTTTCATTGTAATAAATTATAAACGAAGAGCGTATGTTCATGCATTTGAAAATAAGTATTACCAACTCTTAGTAAATGCTTACTAACAAAAATTTTCTTTAATATGACAGGATTCAATTTGTGTGATTTAATTGCACATTTYAAGGTTTTTGGCACAATCATGCATCTATTTAATTTAAAAAACATTTAAATTATATTGTTAATGTAAAAGATACTTATTAATATCTATCAAAAACAATGTTTTTAAGAAATTTGAAAATAATGTAATCAATGCATGGACAGTGAAATGGTTAAAAAATAATGGTCAACTTACTAGTCTAATAAGACAATTATATAGATGCATAAACAAATATATATATATATATTTATTTAAAATTATCAAGATAAGATTCAGTTTTGTTCATAAGTCAAATAATTTATTGCAACTTTTTTCATATTATCATATTTTTTACAGCATATGTGAGAATTTTTTATGATTATAGTTACGTCTTGCATCTTGCATCAATTGTTTTTAAGTGCATGAACTTATGAGCCCCAGTTATAAATTATAATATTTAGAAATATTTGTGCTGATGAAAAACATCTATTTTGTAATTTGTAGTATTACAAAAATTCAGAGTTAATCATATTCTTTTAGATACTAGAAGAAATCAATTCTAATGGCATAAAAATTTACCCTCTACCCGATTGTGACAGTGATGAAGATGAAGACTATAAAGAACAGGTTTTTAATAAATATTATTAAAAAAAAAAATAATAATAATATCTAAAGACTAAAATCATTACTCAACAATTGTACACACCACAGGTTAAGCAATTAAAAGAAGCTGTACCATTTGCTGTTTGTGGTGCAAATCAATTATTAGAAGTACGCGGTAAAAAAGTCCGAGGTCGGTTCTATCCTTGGGGTGTTGTTGAAGTCGAAAATCCTGAACATTGTGACTTTATCAAACTGCGTACTATGCTTATGTAATTTAACTGATATAAATCAATAGTGTTCAAGTGATAACATATATGTATTAATTTATATGTCCTTTCAGCACACACATGCAAGATCTTCAAGAAGTAACACAAGAAGTACATTATGAAAACTACCGATCAGAGCGTCTAGCAAAAGGAGTGCCTGTGCCAAAAAGAACTACGTATGACTATTATTATTACATATTTGTTATAATTGGAGGATATAATATTTTTCTAAATTTGAATAGATCACTACCTGAACATGAGAAAAATTCTGGGTCTGAAAAAGATAGAATTTTGCAAGAAAAGGAGGCTGAACTTAAACGTATGCAAGATGTTATTGCCAAAATGCAAGCTCAAATACAGCAACAAACGCCTTAGTAACATCTCAATATTAACCATTTACACATTTTCCAAGTGACTGCTTAGAAAAAAAAAAAACACTTGATTCCATGATGCCATTATTCTAAACTATTTTATTCTTATAATTATTCCTCATGATTGTATGACTCCAGTTTAAATGATATATAAGCTTAAATTTAAATTTTACATTAAGGTATACTTAACCTATAAACTATAGTTATCGTTTAATTCATAGGTATTTTTTTTTAAAATGTATTTATAATAAAAAATGAAGTACAAATGTACTATATTATTTAAATTCCAGTCATATAAGTAACATACAAAATGGTGTCTTTTGATTTATGCCTGCTCAAAATTGATCATGTTCAGTACATAAAATTAATTTTCATCATAAAACTGATGTATGATACATAGTTACGACTTATAATTTTAATATTATATTATATTTTGGAAAAAATAATCATATTTCAACTAACCCCTAGTTAAGATCTGATACTTATATTTTTATACTTTTCATTTACTATTAAAAATAACTTTGGGATTTACTTTATAAATATTAAAAATATATATGTATTTTTGTAATATTTTATTTTATTACACAAGGAAGCAGTGGTGTATCCAAATTTTGTTTTAATGAGGGATTACTGCAGAGGGTTAAAAATTCATTATTGACAAATTTTATCTGAAAATGATTTATTAATGAATATTTTTATCATCCAACCATTTTTTGAAAGGGGCTACGACAATCCTGGATATGCCACTACAAAGAAGCACCTCAACATTATTTTGGGTAACCATGATTGAATATTCTGAAGTTCAACATATTAAACTATTAATTCAATTTTGCTTGTACTTAATTATTATTATTAATTTTTAATATTTCTTAATTACTTGTGTGTATTTATACTTTATAGTAAAATTATAAGTAATGTATATAATATAATATATATTCTTTATACAATATATGCCATTATACATTTATATCCTGGTGTTAATTATTTGCTAGACCAGTACTATAACGGTTGTGGCATGTACTTAAAATGTCCGAAAATGCTGAAACTTAGTAATATAATATAATACCACACAGCTCTCTGCAAAGGTCCGAATTTCCATATAAATTATTATAGGAATTGTTCTTCTATGAGTTACATTAGCAGAAATTTCAATAACTTACCAGAATGTTGTACTCGTCGGCATGCATTTTACGCTTGAGCCGTTTATGTTCTAAAAATTTGTCTTTAATGAAATTCTGAGCCATTATACTGAGTTCAGTAATTTATTGTAAAGGCAAATTACTAAAATTACTTGCTGTTAATTAGTAATAATTATAATGTTGGATTATGGCCTACCTTTAGGGAAAACATAAGTTCTCCGTATAATAAAGTCACTGATCGTCATGAGTTCACAACTTTAATTGACGATAAGTCTTATAAATACTCCATTATTACAGATTTTGGCAGTTTCAATTTGTATAAGTATGTTATACATTTTTTCTTTCCCCATTCATTATATTTCTGCAGTTTTATTTAAGTACCAATACAATAGTATCTGGGTACTTTTTATTGATTACAACAGTCGATTAGTTATGGTCATTAAGCTTTTACTTTGAAATGTTGTCACTTTAGTATATTAATTTATATTATGTACATGTGTAAAAGTGTTACTAAAATTTAAATTGTGTATAACCATAGAGTGTAAAATATGAATATACTGTTATAAACACTACAGGTTATAAAATACATATAGGTTCATTTTAATACTGTGCACCTATACCGAATAGACAAAAGATTATCACTTATTTTAGTAGTAAATAAAATAATATTGTAATTGGCCTTTTCAGATAATGTGTCATAATATTTACGAATTTTGAAATTTTGAATACATTCTTTAAATTTATTAATATCTTTAATATTATTCAGACGAGAGGAGCGCGTTGCATGCCTTCCTTTCCACGGTTATGTCACTGTTCTTGCATCTAACAAACAATCATCGTTTACAATTTTAGTAAAAAAACAATTTATAATTTCCATTTTCCATTAATTATATAGGCATGTTATTCACTAATTTCTGCTGTCATTTCTCTTGGGTTCACATTAAACCTATTCCCAAGGTTATATTCTAATGTGATTTCTGATGCTTTGGATAGCATATCAGTTATGACTGTCTCGTCTGGAGGTGGGAAGTCAAAATTTGGTTTCCATTCGCCGTTTTCCATGCGAACCGGTTGAGACGAAAACATACCAAATGGTAGGCCAAAGGTTCCTAAAAAAAAAGGACGTAAACATTAAATTTTGAGCGATTATAGTTCGTGCCCAGGAAAATCAGATAATTATATTGGTTAATAGCTTTACATTGACACGAATTATTTACGCAGGTAAATCCATGTTTAATAAACAACAAACAAACATTGCAGTTAATTAAGAGGGAATACCCACTGCGATATTTTATCGGGCATAATTATAATATGTTTTGAGTTTCCTAAACATTCATAACATCACAATATTATAAAATATTTGGCAGGTATATAGCCTATATTATATGGCTGTCAATGAATTTACAATAAAAACATAAAATTTAACATCATCGTGGATGGACACGCAGGTCGACATTTTTCACATCGAACAAAATAATACTGTGAAGTCGTTGCATTTCAAAACAATCAAGTACGAAATCAATAAATATAATGCGTAACGTAGCCCGCGTAGGCACGTCATGTTGGAATATTATAAAACATTATTATACCGTCGGAAAAAACTGCAGCGCTGACGGTTACACGACCATCGTTTTTGAACCATTCCGATATCATCCGCACGGCCACTCGTATTTCGGGCAAACTACACAGGTTGCTCACCGTGTTGTTGACACTTGWTCCTAAGTGGAACAGAGTGAAACACGATTGAGTTATTTTATTTACCTATACCACGCACAGTGCTTGCCGTTTTTCGTCTCATTATTACGGCGCATCGTTAACTATAAATAGGTAGGTAACCCATAATATATAGTAAGAGTATATACCCAGTGATTTGTATATTGCCCGACTTTACCTGGGCTTAAATTAATATTTAATATATCTTTATGGGCGTAGCGTAGCTGCGGGTAAGTAAGGGTTGTGGGTGGACGGACCTCTCCTATTATAATATTTTATTGGATACGTTTTAATCCTGGTTATGGGCTGTTTAGCCACAAATGTAATAAAACTATGTACTATTTTAATGTCCTCCCCCCCCCTCTCCTCTTTGATTGAGCTCCAGTTTCCATATGATTTTCTGCAAGTAGTCATTCGCGCGTCTTCATGTGTTCAGATAAAAAGTACGGTTACTAAGAAAGCAAGTCATGATGATTACAAAACACAACACTAATCATTGTAATATTGTATTCATCAGTACTTTATTTTAGGATTTGATTTTAATGTTTTATTATGTTTCATATTATTGATACTAATTTATTATAATAATAGTTTAATAATATACTTTCTATCCACGGAATGGCTACCATTTAAATTTAAAAAAATTATTTGATTTTCGTGAACCAAGACTAAATTCATGCGTGAGCCAACCTTTAGCAACTATTAGCGCAGRGGTTGAAAAAATATGCTATATACTATATTTAGTCACCTTTTGGGTCTCGTGGAATCTATTGATATAACTATTGAAAACGATTTGGCAGTTTTTAAGTCGCATATAGTTGAAGGGCAAACAATAGACCATTTACTTTTATATTTGTGAGCAGACAGTTAGTATTATGTCGAGGGCGTTCACAGTCCATTGAAACATTGGAAATGACTATAACTTATAAACACAAGACTAACAACTTCAATATTATTATTTAAAAACAAGTCATAGCTTTACTATATAGTGTAAAAACTACAAAACAGCCTAACCTAAGTGTACGTTTGTATGACATTTTTTTTTATTGGAACAAACAAGAATGTAATAAAAATTTATTCAAAAGGGAGGGCGGAATCAAGTGACCCTACTTCATATTTCAATGCTGTTATCTTTTTTGTTCATATTTTGTGTCGTTTATTCTGTATTTTTGTATTTTTATTACAGCTAAAGAAGTCCCTGGACCAATTTCACTTAATACAACATGATGCGATTTATCAAGAAGTGTGGCTGCATCCGAGTTCCGTCCCAAGAATATTTTGTATACAAATAATCCGTGCCTGTTAAAAAAAGATATATACCAATTCCGTCCCAGTCAAAAAAAAAGGTATATACTAATTCCGTCCTTAATCATTTTTATAATTTAGTCTTAATAATTTGTATAATTACTTTTGTTATAAAATTCATTAAAAAAAATTCAGAATTTAGGTACTTAATATGATACATTTCCCACTCATTCTGTCACTTGGCAGTTGGCACAGAGACATCGCGCCATCCATTTCTCTTCTCCCTTGATTTGATAAATCTAAACTATCTCGCGAGAATATTTYCTCTTTCTCTCACCTCCGCATCGGACACACCTAACTACCTTCGCACTCATTTAAGCTCAGCCTAAACGATTCCCTCCTCTGCACCTGCCATTAAACTCCCACCACTTGCAATATCACTCACATCCTCTTTAACTGCCCATATATCTTCTCCCAACGAAAAAGCTTTCTCTCCTTAATTAATTCTCTAAATATTCCAGCCAATTCTATCCTTTCCTGTAATTCTCAATCTGTTATTTTATCCACACTTAATTTATTCAACAAGGCTGGTTTCATAATTTAAATTAAAAAAWAATAATAATAATGTTTTGCTAATTTAGTAGATATTATATATTACATGTTTGTTGCAATTGTCGAAACTAATAATGGTTCTCACCAAGATTCTTAAAAAAAATATATATATAATAAATAATTTGTATAAATATGGTCGTCATAAAATGCTTTAAAAAAATATAAGTATAAGTCAAACTTTTTATTTTTAATAATCAAAATATTCCGTTTTTCACCGTACAATGTACACATGTTAATTTGTATACTATTCATTTTTAATATATATTAAATGGCATGGACACGCACAAATAACGACTGAAAAGTTTAWTTGGTTCAATAGCTGAAATAATATTATCTTTATTTCTAAATAATATGATATTGTTATTAATATTCGATTTGACACGGGMCGGAATTGGTATATCTATTTAAAAAAAGTCGGGACGGAACTCGGATGCAGTCAGAAGTGTATTGRGTAAAGAGGTTTAAAATTATAGACGATTTTAWTGGCTGAATGTGTTTTTGTAGAGTTGTTTATAATGGTGGGAGGCTATTATGGGCTAGTGAATGAATGGTTGAGATTTTGAGGTCAGAGTGATGACCACTGCCTGTGACGACGACAATCATATTCATAAATAATACAAACGTAATATTATTATATCATATATGGGTAAGTATATATTGAGGTACCAAAGTCGGTGCTCGCTGCTACGTGCTCGCCGTCACCGCGTACCAGACTCTCCGACTGCTGTACTACGCTCTGCAAATATTTRTGTTCGCTTCGATCTGTCGAATAATCGTGCACCGACGTGGCCGCGTCCTCGCAACCGCGGACGTCCGCTTCCGATCCACCACAATGATAGATCACGTGTTTGACGTCCACATACTTCGCCGCGCCGTCGAACCCCCAAACCGGCGGACAGTGGAGGTCCGGGATCGGGATTCCCGTCGCCTGCGTAATATAAATAGCAATAGATCCTATAGGTGGCATAACATTTATTTAGGTATTGACCGTATTTGTCAGGCTAACAGAAACAGTGTCATCAACAGGTGGCTCGCCTTTCATCAAAATCTCATGACCTGTCCACTTTTATATAATATTCKTAGGGCCGTTATAACAATGCCCTGCTGAGGCAGTGGTTCCCAATATCTCCTATTCTACGCCCCCCCTTTGTGGATTTTCGAAAATATCGCGGCCCCCCTCCTATAAATTGTAAAAAATCGATCACCTTTTTTGGTGTACTTTACATATAAACTATCTACAAATATTCTATGCAATATTCGGAATAAGACATGAATTATTAAACAGATAACGTGACATAAAACGATTAAGTTACACGCTGCGGCCAAACATTTATATAGTYCTTATCGGTTATCCGTTATTGATACTCGATTATCAGACATAAAGATTTCCGGTCAAATGTTTTTTCTCTAAGTTTTAAAATAAAAATTGTACTTATGGTAATAACTGTTTGCGCCTCCCCAGCAATGTGCACACGCCCCCCAGTCTGGGAACMAGKGTGCTAAGGCGTACGCTAACGTAGCGGACGCATTTAGCGGCTGCTTTTTAATGCTCCATCATCACGATGTACCGTATGTTGCGTAAAATGTTACCGCTAACTACGTGATAGCGGTCAGTTTATTAGCGGCAAGCTTTACTGCCCGTTAAAGTAGCTAACGGCAAGAATCCATAATAGAGTATAAGCACTGGATATTTATATTTTTGCTGGTACTTTGCGATTCTGTTGWGATGTTCTTTTTTATCAGTTAGATCTGTTTTTATGTAACTCATTTGCTGCTGTGTTTTCTACAACTGTGCTKTCAAGGTGTGTTCTTTTTATTTTTTTTACAATAAAATATTTGACTATTAAAATGAATAATTCAAATGATTTGATTGGGTTTATTGATGATGTTAATAGTGTTGGCCGTAGAAGACCACAAAAATATAAAGATAGGCCAAACTACTAAAATAATTTAGGATATGATGAATTCATATTATAATATAGATAACGTCTTTCCAAAAACTTTGAAGATTACCTATCAACTTTACTCGCGGAAAAAATAGAAACAGCTACTGACAGGTAAATATTTTAATGAAAAATATCGATGATAAAATAATAGTATTAATAAATAATTGTGTTCTAAAATATTGTTTGATCTTATAGAGCAGTGGTTTTCAATCTCTTTGCACTCGTGACCTACTTTTTTAGGCCTATATTTTTCGCAACCCACGTAAGCTTTGGAAAAAAAGATAAAATTACTAACATAGAGAACATAGTTCATTCATAAATTCTTACCTCAATGTCTTACTATGTAGAATCATATCTGTCACCTGTGTAGTATGAAACATTATACTTGATATCCATTATGATTATAATATAATATTATTATTATTATTTTTTTACATTATATAATTTTATAAATTTTATTTTTAAAAGAAAACTTGTCACGACCCAATTTTAAGGCTTACGCGATCCACCGGTTGAAGACCACTGTTATAGAGTATACCTAACCTACCCACCTAATATCCTGGTTACCTATTGAGTGGACGTTATACCCGCATGTGTTGTCTCCGTCTTACAAGTGCGACTTATAGGTACATGGTGAATTTTACGCTCAGCAGATCACGTTTAAAATTTCGAATGACCTCTAATAAAAATTAAAGGTAACATTATTATCGAGGGCTTCTCGTGAGCTTTTTATTATATTCTAATTTTAAAGCCAGTTATGAATATTTTAAGATACACGAACAATTTGCAATTTTAAAATACTCATAACTCGCTTTAAAATTAAAATATAATAAAAAGCCACGAGAAGCACTCGATAATAATGTTCCCTTTAATTTTTATAAGAGGTAAATTTACTCTAAATTTTAAACTAACAGAGCGTGTTCTGCGTGGCGTAAAAATTGTTCTATATAAGACGGAGACAACACGTGCGGGCATCACGTCCTCATAAGTAATAAAACTATGATGTATGCGGGCGAAGAGGGTTGATGGAACGATGAGTTCCCACACCCGACCGCACGCAGCGAAAAAATAAAATTTCACGTTTGTAATAATATTACTAAACTCAATCACTGAATATAATGTAGAAAATATAATATTATTGTTTCTAGACTATTTAAATAAACATATAGGTATTAAATACTAATACTACCGAGTACCGGTGTGCTGTTGCGTTAGAAAAATATTGTTAGGTACCTATAGGTATATAAATATTACTATTGAATATTGACCTAACCTACTCAATGATACAACTTACATAATATTATTAATTTACCTACCAATTTTTTTCCAACGAAGAGGTAGGTAGTAGGTACATTGGTATAATATCAATATTTTGTTTATTTTAATGTACCATTGATTCGTTTATTTGAGCTGCCTTTAAAATAATTTAATTAATATCTACAAATGTACTTAAAAACATAAGATAATTTAATAAATAATAATTTTAGGTGATACTTAGGTTAGGTTGAATTCCCYTTGATTTCTAGTAATGACTTAGTTATGGTTAGATTATAATCTATGGCTATAAAATCCATTTGTTAAATAAAAACCAATTTGTTTTTGTTAAAATATCTGATATACAGGGTGTAACAGCCTGTAAGACCTGTCTAAAAAAAAAATTATGCTAATTCATCATATGCCAAAAATTGTTAATGTTATATGATAAGTAAATAATTTAAGAAATATAAACTCATGTCAGCAAACTCTAAAAAATTATATTTAAAAAAAGTTATTGTGATTTAACCAAAAAATTCTAAAAAGAAACTACTTGACTTAGATAAATACTTTTTACCATCAAAATTGTTCTCATAATCAGATTCACAAATAGGATATTTTGAATTTCTCCAATTTTTTTTTWATTAAATTAAATTTGTATTTATTTTCACTTAAGGAACAAAAAAATAAATAAAAAATATTTTTTTGATMAAAAAATATTCCAAACCTCAGTTCTATTTGTTACACCTGGTAYCTATMTATATATATAAATGATCTTTGAAAATAATATAATTAGTTTTAAAATGTTTTTATTAAATATTAACTAGGTATACAAAATTAGGAGAGTGGCTCTGTTCTCTGTTGCATTATAGTAGCTTTCGCATGTACCTTGGTAATGAGTAACTATAATAAACAATAACTAATTAAGGAAATAATTGGTTTAAGAGTTTAGTACTTATTATAATGTAATTCTCACGATATTATAGTTAGGTATGTTAYTGTAGGTATGTAWTCTGTTATATGAACACGGTGACCAAATTTTACCATATACACCAAGTATACTAAGTATAGGTAAAAYACTAGTTTGATGTGATGTTTAAATATTGAATCATTACATTTTGTAACTTTAACATATCTATGTACAAAAAAAAAAAATTAAATAAACAGTATTATGGACTCGAAATGTTWACAACTGACCAGTAACATTCAGTAGGATACGGCGTCTTGGATAGGCTATTTAGCTACACAACTGCCGTGGTTTTGTTTTTCTAAAATATTGTTATATTTGTTTTGTATTATTATAATTTATTATAAAATCGATAACTCACTTACTATTTATAACATAGTAAGTGAGTTATCGATGTAATTTTAATTTTCAAATTCGGCGGTAGAGGGAGCATAGGCGAGCGCACGGTGGGGTGGTTAGGTCACGCCCTCTCCTGCGGCCACTGTCTTTTTCTTTAATAAATGTACAAAGCTATCTGATATTTCTATTATACTAGATTATTTCTATATTTGAATATTTAATTAAATAAATAGGTATTTCATACAAACTRCAATTTAATATTTAACAATACTAGTAGAATAATCTTTGGTAATTGGTTCAAACCCTCTCCCCCTGCGGGCAAAATCTGCGCAAGTATCTAAGAGGGAGGTGGGCTGTTAAAATTTAATCACATACACCTATTATAATATTATAGGTACTTCCTAGTTTCAAAGTAAAACTTTTAATCCAACTAGATTAATACAATCAGTAATCATGATTCATTAAATTAGATTAAGTTTAATGATTTGGTAACTACAATCAGTTACTACTGTGAAGCCATTTTCCTGGGATCAAGAGTAGTATTATAAGATGTTTACACAAGATGATTTGTCAAACAAAAAGTTAATAACATTACAAAAAAATATTATAAATTTGTATCCCATCAATTCGTTTTATTGCGACCAATTTTGTGTGTGCAGATTTTTACATTTTTTTTTTTTTATAATTGGTTTTAAAAAAATAATCTTAACAATTTCTTCAAATGAATAAATAATTTTTAACCAATACTAACCATCGTATTATATTCATTCATTTTTTTAATATTAAAAAAAAAAGTAATAGTAATAAATGGGTGAATAGATTTTACACGATGAAAAAAATGATGCTAAGAAAGATATTGGCTGTGGTAAAAACGTACTGTGATACGTTTTGCGTAAGTGGTATAGTTACTATGGTCACATATCTGATGAAAAGGTAATTATACCATATATACCTACCCGAGAAATGGTCGGTAACGTCACCATACCGTGATGACCGGTCACACCGACGATGTCGTACAAATAAACTTTGTCGGCTTTCTCAGCCAAAACGCTTAAATTGAAACACAACAAGTCCATGCCCATCAGCAGCACTTTGCAGCGCTCGGGACAATGGCGGTTGAGGATTAAAGCCAATTTCTTCATTGCGGTGTAATTTCGGTCCATCCATAGATTTCCGTCTTCATTTTCTCCCCTATATGCATAGATCAGAATCGAGGACAAGGAAATAATTGCCAATATTATTATAATATCGCGCATTATCTAAAGCTTGTATATATACAGATGAAGTCCCTTTGTAATTCTAAAACGTAATTTACCGTTGAATTTAAATGTTGTTTCTGATGTTTATATTTATGAAAGTAAAAACTAGGCCAATATATAATGTCAAACTATTGAGCTATCAATATAATTTAATATAATACTTAAATAGAATATTTTTTTTCTTATTACCTAATCATACTAATTATTAATACGTAATAATTATCAATTTAATTAATCGTTAAATTAGATATACTAGGTTAGGAATATTTTTTATTTTAAGATCAAAATTTGGAAAAGTTTTTTCATAATAGAATCATTTTTGCTGGTGTTGTTAATTTAACTGTTAACATTCATTACCAGGACTATGAAGTTAATGCATTTGCATGTTTTTTTTTTTTTGCTATACCATATAAAAAAAAATGGATTCGGCCAAAATTTGTTTTGACTTATTTGTAGTTCAAATGCCAAATATTATTTTGCATATTTTTGCATATTTCATGGGTTAGGGCATATAAACGCATGTTTTAATAATTTTTTTATTTAAACGTTTTTTTCGTAATATTTACATTTTTTCGGTCAATCTGTCAAAAATATATTCGAATAAACTATGACTTTTATAGTTTCACGGAAATTATTCTATTTTTACCTTTGTATTTAACGTGTATTATTATAATTATTATACACTATTGTATTATTGAAGTCAAGATTAAATTAATTTACTGATATCAACATAATCCTAATCAAAACTATCAAATACAAACCTATCATCATAACGGATATATTTAAATAAAAAATAATAAAAAAAATAAAAATAAAAGTTAATTTTTTTTGGTTTTAAGCATATATAAAAAAATTTTAGAGCATATTTTTATCTATATTTTCAATTTTGTTAGATTTTAGTGCATATTTAATAGTTTACATTAAATTCATAGCCTTGTTCATTACTATTCCTATACAAACGAAATAAGGGATATAAAATAAATTTTAGGGATATTATATTCCCTTTACATCGTGTGTCATCATCGAATCGTGCTGTGTGATATAGGGACTTACTTTTTGATGCTGTCGAGTACGATGAACAAATCGCAGTTCATCAATCCTTCTTCTTCGCTGCTGACCACTGTTACCGCGCTGCAACCACGGACATTAAATTCGGCATCGCAGATTTCACGTTTAATTCTAATCAGATCTGTACAACGAGAAACGTAGTCGAGTAAATCTTATATAATAAAACCACATGCGCAATAAATGCAGACGACTGACGGAAAAACACGAATTTCAAAAGGTACCGTTAAGGCGTTAACGAGTTAATATATACAATATACATAAGTATCTTTTATTTATTTTGTCGAAAACCGATATTGCGTTTCGTTTTTCCCAGGTCTCTTGAAAACTACTGGGAATTTTGAATTTTGACTTCTCGAATTTACCAGATAGAATCGCTTTTCAATCGGAAAAGATACTTAAGTTTAAAATCGAAGCATAATTTCGACTACTTACMGTGTTCACAGACATAARTAAAAAAACACACATCATTGTATAAAATTAATACATTCATAGCTACGCTGCAGAGATTCTTAAATAGTTTAGACTGTTTATGAGGTGTTTCCAATCAAAAAACGTGTTTTCATTCTATAACGTACCGATTAATTTATCGAAGCGATACTAATTCTAAAAGTGGATTCGAATTTTTTGACACTTCTGTTTGAAATTAATCATCCCAAATTTTTGATTTTATCCTTCATAATCCTATACAAAAAATTGTACTAAAAATGGAAGTGGAATATTTCAACTTTGGAGAGGTTGAATCTATCAATTAAAAATCTGAGAAAGTCGACACAAGTAGGATTTACGTTAAATTGAAAACTGTTTTGGTTGTTTTTAGTATTTCTATCGCCTCTACTACTTCAGCCTAAGATCACACCAGACTACTCGAATACAAAACGTACGTCTTTGTAAGAAGTACGCATCAAATGTATCTATAGGTATCTGTAATATGGGTAGAACACGATTGATAACGGTCCTTATCGGGCATACCTTATTTAATAACACGATTGAGAACGTTTTTACCTACTAACTTTTATGTCGCATTAATTAAAAATATAAAATATAAATGATATAATATAATAGCTAGATATCAATTACTATATTTCTTTGAGTTTTTGGTTACAGAATAAACTTACGTGAAATTAAATTTGATAAATAAAAATAAACACACACACACATCATTGTAAAATCAATACATTTATCACTTATTTGTCTGCTTAAGGCATTTTTTAACATATTTATATTTTTATTTGTTAGTTTAAGATTAAAAAAAAAATAAATAAATAAAAAGCAAAAGCAAACATGCAGAAAGTCTTTTGTGAATCGGAAAAATGTTCGTTAATTTTATAAATAAATTTGAGGTGAATTTTGTCAAGAAAATGCAAAAAAAAAAAAATACAAAATATCAGTTTTAATCAGCAACATTTCAAAACACCAAAAAAAAATATGCCCTTGCATCAAAATCCGAGCCCTAAAAGTTATAACTAAAAGTTAAGATAAATGACAACGTCGCTCGAAAAATCGTTCTCAATCGTTTGATTTTAAGGTACAAAATATTGTTTCTTTGATCTGCCGATAATCGTTCTCAATCGTGTTGCTAAAAAGGTAAAACGTTCTCAATTGTACAACACCGCTATAATATTTACTACAAGGCTTTAATTTATAAACAAATGTAATTTGGCTCGCGTGTGATCGCAGGCAACGTACTTCCGTATTTGTCCGAGTCTTTATGATGTAAACACACTGTAACACGGCCACCGCCTCTAGCTTGGAGTGGTTTCAACTGCAGCAGCTCAGTAACCAGGTAACAGGTAGACGGATAAACTGCGCCGGTAATGCACACCCTTCTTGCCGGGGCTCGAGACACGGGTTCTTGTTTGGTCAACATAAACCGCATTCTCTGCGACACCGAGAATTCAAGATCGC